ATGCAAGACATGCATGCAACCCCAAAGAAGATGAAGCACAAGCTGGACACAATAGAAATATTAATGACCAAATTTGAATCCATAGTTCAGTAGTTAAATAACACTTTAGTACTAATTTAAGCCTTAAACCATCTCTTATATATACTTGTAGTTCTTGAGGTCCTTATATAGTTATATTTATATAACAAAAATGGTCTTGGTAAATGGCATGTGAAGGTGTACTTACGCACACATGTCCCTTTAAGAAATTAGTCATTTTGGTGCATCGACCCATACACTTAGAGTGTTCTGGACAACTTTCTCCTAAATAGCAAACTCCCTTCAAAATGCACGCAAGAACCTAAAAACCCAAAGCTTTGATCATAGTTTGTATTTTATCTATTTAATATTTTACATAACTTTGAACAGTGTTTTATAAGCAGTTAGGGAGGAGGGAGTCGTTCCCTCCCAACCTACCGAACCCACTGCCACATCAATTTTTGTCTCTTTTTTTTTTCTAATTTATTTTTTATCTTTATCAACACACAACATATAAAAATCCTATCTTTTTGAACTCATCCAATTAACCCACTCAATTAAAAAAAATATACAAAACAAATAAGGTACAAGTTTTAAAATATGGTACAAGAGAAAATAAGAATGAGAAAGTAGAGAGACATGATGAAGTAGGTTAGTGAAACCAATCAATCCACTCGTTGAAGCGGGAGTGGTACCGCCGATAACTCTATTGCTAATTAAGATTTTTACATTTGATTGTTTTGTATTTTTTTTTTTAATTGAGTGGCTTGAGTGAGTTCAAAAAGATAGAGTTTCTGTGTATTGTGGGTTCGGAAAAGTACAGACATATGTATAGTCAATGTGCATATATACACATTTTTAATAAATAGTCCATCAACACAAATAAAAAAAACTTATATACCCATTTTATTTTTATTTTAAATATTAGCAATTAAAATGTATATATATATATATATATATATATATATATATATATATATATATATATATATATATATATATATATATATAAACCAATTTTGTAAAACAAACCAACTTTTATAAAAAAGAAAAAAAAATCATATATACACATACATATAAACACTCCTACACACCCATATACACACATATATACATACACAAGCATATGCATATATAGACGTGCATAGATATACATATGCGTATACATATAGACACATGCATAGGTAGACATACATATATACATAAGACACATGCATATATAGACATACCAAATAAAGTATTACAGAGTCTATTAAATATACAAATACGAGGAAGTAAATAACTGAACATATGAGAACAGAAAACAACAGAGTATCGTACTTTGATACATTCATCAAAAGAGCCATCTAGTTTTCCCTAATTATTATTAAATACATGACAACTAAATGTGTTGCATTTTAAATGATTGTTCTTTTACATTTATATACTTAACAACCACCACCACCACCACCCCCACCACCACAACCACCACCACCACCACCATAACCTCCACCATCTCCACCACCACCATAACCTCCGCCATCTCCACCACCACCACCTCCACCACCATGATGTTTCTTATTGGATTTATGATCAGCAGTGTCACCACAAGCAAATATAACAATTGACAAGACAGCCATAGACACCAAAATCATGCATAACATGAACACGATATGGGAACCCTCAAACTTGAGAATTCCTCCGGTGTTTCCTTTAAGATCAATCATCCGCGCCATGTTGATGCCTCTATACAACTATTATGATAATTTGAGTACGTATTGGTATAGTTGTGTGTGTTACGTTAATAACGTTGTATATGACTATATTCAATTTATATGCCTTTGTAAATTTGACATTGTCATAAATAGGTTGAGCGAGTCCTTGTGATGAAAGTATTTGTTTTTCTGTAACAAGGGAAGTCGTGGGAAAAAGAGGGGAAGATTCCTATGTTTAATTTTGAAATCTTTATTTTTAATTTGGAATAGAAATAGAAGGAAAAGAATAGAAATTTTTTCATTGTGCTTGAATAGTTATTTTGTTATAGTTTTTTTTTTTTTTTTCTATATTATTATTATTATCAAATAGTTACATATAATAACAAAATCATAAAACCGTCAAAATTGTACCAAATTCATAAAAATAAATATTAATGTTTCATCTGTTTATTTTAAATGGAAATCTTGAACAAAATGATATATACTTTTGTTTTATATTTCTTTCTTTCTCATAAATACATTAGTCCAAACTGTTAACGTAGGCTTGTATACCGTTTGAGAATTTGGATGAGTAGGGTGACAATATTGACTACGGTTATCCTTGAATTAATGGATTTTTTTACGAAAGGGAAATTGCGTGAAAATTTCGATTAGGATGAACTTCCAATTATACACGTAAGTTTTATCAAATTTTGAATTACCAATTTTTTTGTAAAAAATGAGAGCAAACGAAGACCATATAATAGCAAACAATGGGTGATTTATTTAAGGGTCTTCAAAATAGATATATAAAAAAATAATAATTAAAAAAAAAAAAAAAAAAAAAAAACATGTTGCGTGCCAATCTCGACGGATTGCTGATGTGTGAGCATCTTCCCTTCATCTGAAAAAAAAAAAAAAAAAAAAAAAAAAGGAGACTTTAATTAGGGGAGAAAATGAGAGAGAAGGATTCAAAGTATTGATCAAACCTCACAAACCGTGCATCTTAAAACTAGCTACATCCATTTTGTTAATTACCTTATTTCTTGAAATAGTATATAAGGTCTAAAATACTAAAATCTTAAATAAAATAATAATAATAATAATAATAATAATAATAATAATAATAAATAATAATTATTATTATTATTATTATTATTATTATTATTATTATTATTATTATTATTATTTAAAAATGTAAATAAATATATAACATTTTACATATGTTCTTAAAGATATATAAATACCTTTTTAAAAATACTTTAAATGTAAAAATATGTTTTTTAAAGGTCTATACTTTAATATACAAAATTGTCAAACATATGTCTTTATTAATATAAATACGTTTTATATGTATGTGTATGTTTTTAAAGGTATAAAAATGTAGTAATATGTTTTTATACATTTAAAAACATATTTATATATATAAAAACATATTTATACAAATAAAAACATGTGTTTTACAATTAGAAACATAATAAAAAAACATATTTTATATGTATATATACTTATTTAAAGGTATAGATATATAGGAGTGTAGAAAACCCGAATGTAAAAAATAACTTTTTTATATGCATAATTATGTTTTTATATGTATAGATATCTTTTTATACCTTTATAAGCTTATATAAACATATAAAAACATATTTATAGAAATAAAAGTATTTTTTTATATTTTTAAATATATATATATATATATATATATATATATATATATATATATATATATATATATTATATATATATATATATATATATATATATATATATATATATATATATATATACACACACTAAGGAGCGAATGGGCGATGCTTGCTAAAATAATACAAATAACATTTTTACCAAAAGAATAGAAAATAGAATGTTGTAGTTGTGATAAAAAAAATATATTAGAAATACAATGTTACAATGGAGTGAAATGAAAGTATAATAGGGTCATTTCAGTATAATTAAGTTTCGATCTTGAATTTCTTACTTAGTGAAGTTTTTCATAGGTTGTATTTGTCTATTTGGCTCTAGCTGACACGCATGATGAGAGATGAAAACAATATCTTACTTGTCAACTTCCCAAATGCCGGTACCCAATTACAATATCAATATCATAAGAACACCCATTTTTATACCTTTTCAATGTTTCCCATCATCACACCTTTGACTACCTAAAGGCAGACTTTGACCTTTGAAACCTTGTTGATTCATTCTTGATGATCTATACAATCTTCAGTTTGGGCCTAATGATGTAATTATGAGAAGTTATAAACATAGACTATGCAGGCTTTGACCTTTGAAACCTTGTTGGTTTTTATGATTATTAATTTGTTATAATGATAGTTGAGTGGTTAAATTCATAAAAAATAATAGCTAAGTAGCTAATTTGATTAAGTGGTGAAATACTTTAGTTGGTAAGTCGAAAGATAAAATAGTTTGGTACTTAAATTGAAAAAAATGGTAAATGTATGAAGTGCTTCTAGCCTTCTATATACTTTGCCGTATACCAAAACTAAATAGCCGGCCAGGAAAATGGTTTTTTTTGAAGTGTCAAAAACTTTATAATGTTATGATCATTACCTTCATTGTGCAGATTGAAAGTTTGATAGCATCAACATGACAACATGAACTTAAGTTCCATCAAAAACCTTTGTCAAAGGAGGAGTAAGAAGTAATCCTCTATAACAATCAAAGTCACCTGTAATACTATTACACCAGAAGATAAATAAATGAAAGTGTATTTAATAAAAGAAAATTACAGAAAAAATATTAATAAAAGACAAAAATGACAATTATCATATTAGAGACGTTACCTACAAGACAACAAGAAAGCAATATATAGTAGACCAACTAAAACAGATGGTGAGGAGCCCCAATATATAATTTGCTTATTAAAAATTCGAAAACCTCCATAATTGTTTATTGAGTGAACATAAAAAACAAATTGTTTTATGAGTTGTCCGGAAGTTACTATGAAGAGTGATGATACTTTTATTTGTAACTTTTCATAGAAACTAGAAAATTTTTCACCACTATCAATTTTATGGGCAAATGTCATATTAGCCCATCGAACTTATCGTGTTTGTTTTAAAAGGTTACCCAATTTTATTTTATTTTTTATATTAAGAGAATGAACTATCGTTTAACCTGTTAAAAAAGTTACTTAACCCTCTACAACAGGTTTTAATCTCAATGTAGTCTCATTTCAGTTTCTTATATCCAAATCATTCAATCAATCGGAACCGTATCCTTTAAAATAAGAGTCTAACCATTTCCGAGTGAAAAACATTTTCATAAAATAGGAATATGTGAAACTCATCATCTATATGCAAATCCACGAGCAATTGCATTAACCCTAATCTGGTGCTTCCCCACGTCCATAGTTGATGTCTGATCATACAAAAACAAATCAAAGTTGCTATTAGGATTTTAGCATAGAATTTTACTTCTTTATATCGTTTATAAAACGGATTGAAAAGGATACAAAGATTAAAGTTACTTACTCTGACCAACTGATGAAGTCCACCCAAACAAGCACCATATGCAGCTGCACCTGGATATATTCCTCTCTCACCATCAATTATCGAGTTCTTGAATACGATCGATCCTCCTGATTTGTTATCCCTCATTCTTTTCGCAACAGCTTTCATCATATACCTTCATAAGTATATCAATTTACCAGAGCATCCACTTTTCCCTAAAATACTCCAGTTTTCTCCACGGCTTCATTAAATACTGACTCTCTCTCCGATTCCATATCTAATCCAACGATTTCAATAGCAACTTCCTTCAGATCGTTGGTGATCCAATCTGCAACGCCCTTGATGACCTTCTCGTCTCCCACTAACACCAACCTAAACAAAGAAATAACTACATTAGAATTAGTTCAATTTAGATTTCAGAGGTGAAATCCAAATGAAATTTAAGGCGCAAACATACCTGCATCCGCGTTTTGCTAAATGATAAGCGATGTTTCGTGAAACCGCATCACCGTTAACGGTGAGTAAATGCGAATGTTCAAGAAATCAAGGGTTTCAGAAGGATTGAAACGATGGGCGATGAAATTAGACTTACGCTCAAATTGGACTCCGAACCTTGAAAGCGAATTGAAACAATTATTGGGCCGATCGACAATGGCGATACCAGCATCCCTCCCATCGTCTACAACTCCATGCTCGAGATCCTTAGCCAAACTAGTTTGTATCAGGGCTCTAAAAGGGTTAAGACATATTTTACAGGCTTACCCGGTATCAGGTCACATGAGGATGTTTTAAAACAGGAAAACAATAGTTCATTCCCTTAATGTACAAAATAGAAAAGTTGAGTGACCTTTTAGAGCAAACACGATAAGTTGGATGGGCTAATATGACATTTATCCCAATTTTATTTACATTTTCTCCCCCGGGGTATTCTAGTAACAATGATACTTTTATCTTATCTTGAGAAGGTCCTTGTTTGCTGACACACAACTTGAAGAGCATACTAAGCAGTTCTCTCATAACTTAACTAGTTCTTGCTCAACTGATTAAACAAATGACTTTATTCTTAGGGACATGAATCTTTCTCTAGGGTAAAAGCTTTAAGAGAGTTGTCTTTCCATTACCATTGGGTCCCACCAAGGGTACCTCTTTCCTTGAGAGCTTTTTAGAGACGGATTCTTAATTTACCAACCCTTTCCCGCATGTAGAAACTGAGGTATTGTCGAATGTTTAGTCTTTTACATTTGCATCAACTGATCATACTGACAATCATGAACTGAATCCCGACTAAATATAACGATTGTAATTGCATAATGGTCATCTTTTAAAGATTCTTATCAAGTATGCTTGAGCATGAATCATATTTTTTTTTCTGGTTTCTTGAATTCATTATCGTTTATCTATGTTTCAATATTTTTATCATTAGCCCTCTTTTTTGGTTCCTACTTTTGAAGTTCTTCTCCAGAGATAGCCTGTATATCAATCCGTCATCATTTGAAGGAAGGAATTTAAGTCAATGTCTGCATAAGACTATATTTGAGAGGTGCTTTGGGCTTGGGATTATACATAGTGGAGCTTTAGTAGGTTACTTTCTTTGTCTTATCGGATTTTTGGTCTATGCTTACATGCATGGCCGAGACTCATGGCTTCTCTTCCTTTCCTTCTTCGTTGCTTTGCTTACCCTTCTCCCCGCCTTCATCTGTATATTTTTCTTTTGGAAGCAACATTTAATCTAAACATCCAAAGATTAAACAAATGTATCCAAGTCCGTAGAAAACCATATTGGGTTTGAGGTTTGAGATCGTACAAAAACAATACATGTAACCTGGATAACGTGCAACCTTAGTCACCTGTAAAAGGGGAATAACCTGGATAACCTATAGCCTTAATTGGGATTAATGTATGAACTAGAAGGCCCGGAGATACGATGAAAAAAAAAGTTGGATGATGATGGAGAAGATTATGTATAAAGATTTAAATAAAATGATAATTATTATTATTAATGTCAGCCCCTAAATAACCGTTTGAGGATTTTAAGCCCTCTAATTTTCTTCAAATGCGATCCTCACCGCATAAACTCACTATTTACCGTTTTCGATGGCAGTTCTTCATCCCTAAACATTAGCTACATTATGTAAGTAACTGTTATGTCCATATAAGAGGTCATTAGAATGAAATCGTCCCATCAATTTTATTTGAAGCCTTCTGAGCTTCTTCAAATGTGATTCTCACCGCATAAACATTAGCTACATTATGTAAGTAACTGTTATGTCCATATAAGTGGTCGATTTGAATGAAATCATCACATCAGTTAATTAAAATCAGTCTATCGTTTAATCAATCATGGAGCACAAATTGGATGACAATGCTTTTCCGTTTGAAGAAATTTTTAGGATTGTTAAAAGCCCAACCATGCCAACATAGAAGAACAATGAGGTTTCATTTTCTAAAACAGATTGGTGGCAGAAGAGATTACTCATTGTCTTATATGCTAGCATATATAGTTTCTTATTTTACCAATAACTTCGTTGGACCAGGAATTACCAGGGATTGTGCCACCTGCACCAACTACGTCTTTCGGGCTACGATCGTAGCTCTGATACCACTTCTTAGGATTGCTACAAGCCCAACTATGCCAACGTGGAAGAACAGTGAGGTTCCACTTTCTAAAACCAATTGGTGATAGAAAGGATTACTCATTGTCTTATATGCTAGCATATAGTTTCTTATTTTACCAATATGGGATTGGGTTTGCACCCCAACAGAAATGGCAACCAAGGTGATTTTCTTGAATAGGTGTATGGTTTTTGATCCCCGTCTTTGGAAATTTATACTTTTTTACTTTGATTCAATCGGTGGTTTGATTATATTGTAGAACGTAACTATCGTTTAATTTGGGAATTTGCTATGTTTTTTATATCTGATTTCAATTTCTAATCGCTTGCATAATGAAGAGCTTCGAGTTCATGAAAATGCGAAGCTTGAAACAGTATTAGAAAAATTCACATCTTATTTTGAAATTGACACTCTGAAGATAATTGACTTTTCTATTCACTTCAGTCCTTATAAATCCATTATTGAAAGGGTTATTTTGGAGGAGGTAAAAATTGTCTAACAACTTTGATCAAGTGATATTATCAAGTGATAATAGGCAACCTGAGTCTGCGTAACGTACCCAAAGTTGAAGGGTCTATGCTCTGACTTGATGCGTCGGTAGGCACGAAAAATTCTAAATGGACTTGACTAGGCAGAGTTGAACTTAGGAAATTTATAGACTTGACAAATTTTGACCTAGTTAGATCCGTTCAGCCTGACAATACGACGCTTGGATAGGTTGAGCAGGGAGGTATATATATATATATATATATATATATATATATATATATATATATATATATATATATATATATATATATATATATGAGAATCTACTCGTCACATTAATTGAACCCGTACTTGGAACTGTGGTTTAACTTTTCCTCGATGTGCGGATTCTGTCCTTAATTCCGGTTGGATGGGGCGACTGGTAAATTCCGATAAATTAGGTCTGTAGAATATCATTTTCTTTCTTTCCGTCTGTTAGTCATATGTTGCACCCTTTGCGTGATTGGAAGAGATCCGACCTGGATTGAAACATATGCAACTCTATTTCTCTACAAGTTATATATGTGAAATACTTTTTATCTGTTAGCCATATGTTGTCTCCTCTGCGTGACTTCTAATCCGACCTGGTACACAGCATATGCAACCTTCTTCTTCTCAACCCCTCTGAAGTAATAAGTAATAGAATTCTGAATCTATCTTCTCTCTGAATGGTTGTCTGCTCACCTGGTGTAAGGAGTACTCTGGAAGTTCTTGATGGCTGGGGCATATCAGGAAGCGGGAAACACGTTCCACTACACTTAAAATTGAACTCATACAGATTGTCTATAGATCTCGCTGCTCAATTTAGGTGGACAACAATATCCTTGGTCGTCGTCAGATGAATGGTCCTTAAGATATAATATTTAAAGAATTAGGATCATATGTAAATTTTAGGATTTTAAGTTCACCCTGTCTTGTAACAAATGGTATGTCCTAAATCTGTCATAATTTTTCGTGTTTAAGCGGACCACAATACCGACGATCGACCAGACAAAGATGTGAATATGAAAGGTACCGACAAGTGGATAAAGATTGTCTAACAACTTTGATCCCAAATCACTCTTAAAGTTAGATATCATTTTATTTTTGTTAAATTTGTTCATCGTTTCTTTTAATTTAAATATTAGGGGAGAATTAAAAATTTAAAAAAAAAATCAAAAATTAAAAATCCAAAAATAGTGTTATTTGTGTTTTATTTCTTGTTCAGAAAAATCAAAAAAAAAAATCCAAAAATATTTTTGTTTCTGTTTTAATTTGTGTGCTAAGTTTTCTTTTAGTTTTGTTTTGTTTTGAAAAGTGATTTCAGGTATAGATAAGACTCATGGAGTTTGTGTTGAAGATTTCTGAGCCAAAGCCTCGTCCGTGAGCATCGAAGAATTCACATTCGAAGGAGCAAGAAATGAAGATTATTCTTTCAAATTCAATCTTTCAACCCCAAAAGCAAGGTGAAGCTGAAATTGAAGATTATGTGACGGATTGAATTGAAGCCTCCTCAATCAGTCTGCTGCTATCTTAAACATGCTGAAGTGATCTAGAAGATTTGTTCTCTCTGATGTTCTCTCTGAAGATTCTCAAGCTGAAAGTACTATCTTTCAAGAATCAGTACGTCAAGCCTCCTCACCCAATGTGCGTTCAATGCCAAATTCTGAAGAAAGGCTCAATTGCTCAAGATGAAGTCATTCATTGAAGATTCATATGCTCATCGTGATGCTGTGAAGAATTTGAAGATTAAAGCTGAATCCAAAGCTCTCAATGAAGATTATCAAGAAAGCCAACTACTTTTTAGGGGGAGCATGTTGGGTCAATTAAGAAAAAGAAGCTATAAACCAAGGGGGAGATTGTTGGGTCAAAATATGGTTTATACTTTACTTTTCTAGGCAATTATATTTTTGTGTAATATTTATGAATTTATGGCCTAGTTTACGGCCGTAAACACCTTGCGGCCGTAAACTCATTTACGGCCCATGTGTGTCCGGCCCAAATTCAAGTATAAATAGAGGTGTTAGGGTGATGAGTAAAGATTGATGAGCACGAAGGAGTTTACAGCCAGAGAGAAAGGAACGTTTGTGTAGGTGAATCTTGTGTAAGGAACTTAATTCATATTATCAATACATTCAAGATTCATATTATTCTTCTTCTTCTCTTCTATTTGATCTGACAGCATCCGTTTGATTGGGATTCCGCACCATCAAACGTATCTGATTGATACACGGGCAGATTAGGGACTTACAGTTTTGGAATTTAGACTTTCAAAATTAACTTTTAATCAACATTTCAAATTTGAAAACTTAAAGGCAAGTTTTGAAACTTTTCAAAACAATTAGGTTTTAATCTCACTTAAAATTTTTGAATTTAAGATATTTAAATTAAAATTTTAAATATTAAAACTCTTGATTTAATAATTATCTTGAATTAGACTATTAATTTAATTATTAAACCATAAGGGATTATCTAAATTGTAACACCGTAAATTCCAAGACAAATTTTTCATTTAAAATAATCATTTTATTCTTAGAAACACTTGTTTAAAATCTCATTCATAGTCGATTTACAAAACATGACTCCATTTTCACTTGCGTAGAAAACCAGGATCCTCCAAAATATGACTCTTTCTCTGGTGTGTACAATCAAGCCGGTGCCGTCCCGTGATACTAAAAGAAACCTGAAAAACATCACACAAAACACTGTAAGCACGAAGCTTAGTGAGTTCCCCAAAATACCACACAGAACACATATTAGCCACTCGAGGCTATAACTCTATGGGTCCGTGCACCCAAACTCTGTGAACCCTCAGGTTCCAACTCTAGGAACCTTCCGGTTCCAACTCTATAAACATGCACAGCATAAATCACATAGAAATAATGCAGTACAACACATCACGTACATATAGCATACAAATACTCTGATCACATAACTCTGGTTACCTACTCAAGGTAAAGTATAGTGAGAAGACTCACCTGGCAAGCAGAAAGCAGATATCCCCACACTTGAATCTCGAACTCACCACCGCCTAACACGTAAGGCAAATACTCTCATGAATATAACTCTCAAGACTAGAATAAATCCTCTCAAGACTAGAATAAATCCTCTCAAGACTAGAAAGCAGATATCCCCACACTTGAATCTCGAACTGAGCCTCCAAAGGTCACCCAAATCATGATCCAAATATCCCACTAACTTCCTCCCCGTGACCACTATCCCGGCCCCGTGACACGCAAGTCACGAAATTCTCTTTTCCTTATGCAAGAAAGTACAATCCAACCGAGGATCGTCTCCACTCTGATCTTTGGTTTCTGCTGCGCATATCCCTTGAGCATCTCACCACATTCCCCGACAGAGACGGGGACCCCAGTCTCGCCCCTGGTCCAACATCCAGGCTCCAAAAACTCAATACTAGGGCTACTCAAGCCCAAAACTCTTCCACATCATACACTGATCGGAGAACATTCCATCATCACACTCTCTTGCCATCTAGTGAGCACTACGGCTCCTCGCGGTATCACAGCACCCTCTGACTAGTGAGTACTACGGCTCCCCGCAGTATCACAACACCCT